TCTGTTTTATGTTCGGACTCTTAAACTGTAAGTTATTTTTAGAATTTATATTAGAATTATGTTTCCCCCCAGTTATTCCTAATACAGGTTTTCCCTTGTACTGACTTTAAGTAGGAGGCACTAGACAGCAAAATTACTTCCCAGAACTGGAACTACTGCTTTAGTCATAGTGATTTGAGAATGATTTCTGTCCACAAACCAAATAAACAGCATTATAGAGGAATATAACGAAGGAGAAATAGGGGAAGGGAACCTAACCATTTTCAAGAATAACTTTATTTTATTCTATTTCTTTTATTTGTTTATTACTTTTAGGGTCGTGGTTTTGGAAAGTAGGCCAACTGATAACCCCACAGCAAATAGCAATTTATACATCCTGGCGGGTCATGAGAACAGTTACTGAGAAATGTGCTTTGACAGTTAACTGTAGAAAGAAAGAACACTACCGCTGCAACATTAATGGATGCTTGAAGCTGTACAAAAGCTGCAGTAACCTGGCTTCAGTTACTTGTAATTTATTGTGGCATGAGACAAGATGGGGAAATTTTTTGTTTTAAGTGGTATGGATATATTTAGCGTATTGAACCACACAAGTGCTTAACTCATCATTATGTAATCTTTGTACATATAGGCAGTATTTTTCTGTGAAACTTCATATTGCTAAAGACATACACTAAGAGTTTATGTAGATAATGTACTTTTATGAGATGTACAAGTAAGTGTCTTATCTGTACAGATGTAAATGTTGATGAAAAATGCAATTGGGTTAATATTTTAAGAATTCTTTAGTACATTCTTGGGTGTGGCTATATTGCAAATGGGATGCTGGCAATGAAACAGTACATTTAACACTTGTATTTTTATTAAATGTAATTTAGTAATATGAATATAAATCTTGTACCTTTTAAAATTGTAATGGAGGCTGTAATCATTTTATAATCTTGTTTTTAATTTTAATGCAAGTACACTGGTGTTTATATTTGCACAAAGTATTGATATGTGATGTATTAAGTCACAAAAGTAAGCTGTGACATTGTCAATATGCATTTGACTCCACAACATCTTTTTTAAATGTATTTGGATTATTCTTTGTGACACAAAGCAATTAACCACTTGTTGTAGTAACTGGTCTTTTTATATTTAAGCAGACTCCTGTAAGATTGCTTGTTTGTGTTTAAAAACAATATCTTTGAAAAAATTTTGAATCACAGAATAGCGGTACCATGATATAACACTGCAAATGTTGTATGAATTACAGTGTGCACAAAGAATCAATTAACTTAAAGAGTCCACACTAAACATTTCATATAATCACACTGAGGAACTATAACATTCCGTAGAGTATGAAGTGGTTCAAATTTCTTAGTGGAATTTTTGCTTTTATTGGCCTTATTTTATGATCATTTTCATATTTCTTTTGATGTATAGTATTAACAGATGGCCAAAATGATTTAGTTACTACCTCATATAAACAATATAATGGTTACTACACATCACAGGAACTTAGTTTTGGTTAAAGTCGTTTTTGATTGCTTTTTACCAATGGACTATGTATAATATACCAAGTTTCAGCAAAGTATACACTTTTGGCTCTTTGGTATATTTCTTTATATTTTAATGTGACTGTATACACTAAGAACAAACTAAATTGTGATTTATGGTCTTCATTTATTTTAATTGATAATGCTTTTAAATATGTTCCTGATTGTACATAGTGTAAAATAAACATGTTTTTTAACATGCTGTTGTATAGTCTTGTCATCTGGCTTAATCTGTATATAGCTAGTTAACATTAAAATATATGAAAGAGGAAAATAATTAATTAATCTGCATTAAATCCTCATTACCCATTCAGATCATTGTATTTTTTATTTGATCTGTGATCTCAGTTTCATGAAAGAATAAAATTCCCACATTTGGGAAAAGGGCCTTTTCTCCTAGTCGGGAAAAGGGCCTTTTCTCCTAGTCAGGAAAATTAATTAGGCATTATATAGTCTTTGGGTTAGAGCAGTACTCAGAAACAAATTCCATTTCTCAGCCCAGTCCTGCTCACCACCTGCTTTTGTAAGTAAAACTGCTTTTTGGAGCACAGCGTGTATCCATGCAGGTATATGGTTGCTGTTGCACTGCAGTGGCAGAGCCCAGTGGTTGCAAAGAGGCATGTCCCACAGCGCCTGGCATATTTACTAGTTAACCCTCTGGAGAAAATGAGGACTCCTGAGTTAGAGAAAGACCGGAGAGTGTGGGGGAAATGCAACTCTAGAGGTAAAGAAGGTGAAGATTAAATAGCAAGAATTGGAATGGGACTCATCGTCATCATTTCTTTGCTAATGCCACTGCCTGTGCTTGTGACCTTGAATAATTTGCTTGACCCCAGTTTCCTTATCTAAAATTATGACCCCTAAACCTACAGAGACTAATCCGAGCAGTTATGTCAAGTTACTGCTTTTCTCAAACACTTTGTGATTTATGTTAGCATTAATGACTGACTTAAAAACACATCTTCACCAGTAATAGCATTGTCATAGAACTGGAGGTTGTTAGTACTTAGTGAAATGAGTCAGACTTGGGAGCACTTAGAAATAGTTACAGAAAATAAAGCATACAACTGATTGTGTGTTACCCAGGACCTTTTAAAATACAGACACCTGGACACAAGTCTTTGGGGCTGTGACCCTGTAACCTATGTTTTTATGAAGTTAGTTATACAAATTACTCTGATATACAGCTTTGCATAAGAACTACTGGCTGACACTGAATTGAAATCATTGTTTCTGAGTGTGGTCCAAGGATTCCATATCTTCGTGACAGTTAAAAATACAAATTTGGGGGCTTCCATAACTCGATTATAAGGTTATTTATTCATTTAAAGAGAGCCACTCACAAGTTGGAAGCAACCTTTTTTGCATTTTCATTGCCTGTCCAAATATTTATTGTGATAGTTTCTTAGGAATTGGTGTTGAGAAGAATGAATTTACTTCTTTCTGGACCTCTTGGTGTCACTCAGCTGGGTAGTATGCTTTCAACAGGACAGGAAATAAGGGACACACAATCGTTACATCAGCCTGAGAGTACGCTGTGTAATATAATGGGTAAACACCAACTATTATTTGAGAGGAACTGTGATAGTCGTAAATGCCCCATAAATGTGTCTGCCAAGTCCCGCCCTACATGCTTCATAGTGATTCTCCCACTGCAACCCCACAAGAGTACAATGGGGTGGTTGTTAATTTCATTTTACAGATGAAGAAACTGAGGCAGCAAAAATTGAAACATCTTGCTCAAAATACAGTTGGGAGAGCCAAGATTTGAACCTAGGTGCTTAGTTTAAAGCGTAAATACAAACTTCTATGACTACACTAAACTATACATTATCCAGAATACATTCAATTTATCTGCTGCTCTCTAAAATACATTCTAGCGTTTCATGCATGAAATTAGATTTTACTGTCTGCAGCAGTTAAGAGTTCATAATCTGATTTCCACTGTCTCTGCAATAGGAAAAAATTAACTTCCTGTCATAAGAATAAAAGTATTTGCGTAAGTTACTGTTAAAGCTTACTAAATATGAGGGCTTTATTTTTGTACAACAACTATTTAATCAACATTTATTAATCATTTTTACAGTGTATCCAGGCACTTTACTGGCACTGGAAAAAGGTGGAAAGGCATCATTCCCGGTATTCTAGGAGCACACTTGGGTAAATAAAGATAAATGTAAATTAAAAGGCCTTGCTTAATTCTGCTTTGGGAAAAAAAAAGTTCTTGTGTACATGCCAGATTGTTGGTAGATAAGAGTAAGCTATCACGTGTCAGGGAAACGTCAGAGCGAGGAGCTTTACAGGCCAAAAGCACAAGCAAAAGTGCTGCATCTGGGAGGAATAGTGACATTAAATACAGGTGAACTTAGGGTGCCTGGAGCAGAGGAACAGGGTTCAAAGAGCAAGGATGGACGGGACTGACTCAAAATGAGGGCTTCCTAATTAGAAAAATAGTTCTAGTCAACCCTTCAACCCTGCAGAGCTCAAACACCATGAAATGAAAGTAGAATGTTGGATTTATATGTAAGGTGGTTATTGGTGTCCTTAAGGAATTTTCTATAGAACTATGAAACCAGAAGTTACATGGAAGTGGATATATGTATGTTTATGTTGGCGTTAGTTGTAAATTATATCTGGTCTTGAAGGGGACAGGAAAAAAAGGTTTCTGGTTTGATTTTCTAATGAGAAAATAGAGGATATTTCTAAACAAAGTGGAAACAAGGTAGGTGAGGAAAAGGGGCAAGTCACCTCTGAAGGAAGGAGAAAGAATGGTTTTAACCTAATCTGGCAGGCTAGGGAGCGTTTTGATAGTAAAGTAGTGTGCATGTTTCTTAACAGTGTTTCTAAACTTCGTCCTGGGAACAAGAAGCATAAGCTTCGGCAAAAATGATCTTTCCCAGTGTGAATACATTTACCCCCCAAATAGCATTAATCATATTTTTCGTTTGCTTGACTTGCTTCTCCACGGCGTAGCAAAGTTCAGCCCAAACCGAGTTAGGAAAACCGCGACCTACCTCCCAGTTAATCGGTACCTACTTGTGTCCCGGAAAAAACGTACAGAAGTTTGCTGAAAGTGATTTGGACAGTAAGGCAAAGGCGAAGAGCATTGACTAATAACGGAGGGTCTGTGTCTGCCCTGGCTGGAAAAAGAACGAATGCAACGTTTCGCATGTGCTTTGAGGTCTTGGAAAGGAAAAGAACTAACGTGTTAAGGGAAAAGTCAAGTGTTTCCTGGGAGCCTTCGTTGGGCATTTTAAAGGACCGTCCTAGAGGAGAAGCAGCCGCTGCGCCCACACTCTGACGTTCGTGCACGGCCAGACTAGCTGCGAACCCCGCCCCGCGGGCTTCCCCTGCGGCGGCTGCGGAGGGAACCCGCTCCGGAAGTCGAGGTCCCGCGCGGCCCGAGCGTCCGGTTGCCGGGGAGACGCCGCGGCGGGTAGGCTCCGGGGCTGCGCGGGAACGACTCGGGAGTTAGGGCGGCGGGGGGCTGCTGGAGCCTGGTCACCGACGCCCCAGTCAGCATCGTAAGTGCGGGTGCCGGCGGCTGGCGCTGGGAGCTTCGCGGCGGCCGGGGGTGGGACGGGGGTTGGCGCTGGGGTGGATGGAGAAACTAGTAGGGTCGGGGTGGAAGCGGCCCGATAGGGACAGTTCCACGAGAGAAGGGTGGCCGGCTGCCTTCCCCTTCGCTGGCGTCGGGAGCACACGCGACGAGGTGGGAAGCGAGGGTTACAAGGGACTTGTTGCTCCCGGGGGCCGCGCGACCCGGCAGCTCCCCGGGGGACTGGAGAGAAGTGAGGTTCTGGGGAGAAGGGGCCGCGGGTGGGTCGGGGTTGTGGTCCCCAAGGGCTGGACCGTCGTTACCCGGAGGATGCTAGTGTATGGGCCTGGAGGTGAAAAGGACTACGCCGAACTTCCAGATCTGTTTTGTGTGCCCGTGAAATGAGACGTTTTAGACAAAGTTGGCTCTTGGGTGATGTGCATCATCAGGTCTTCTGGCCTTCTGGGGTCGCTTCTACTATACGACACTTGTAAACAGACGTGTGCACTTCAGATGTTCTGTAAGTCAGAGCTGTGTTTGTGAGGCAGAAGCAGCATCATTTTATAGCCCGTTTTTCTGGTTAGCTTTTAATATATAAATAAGTGTTTGGTTTGGTTATGTTGGAAACAGTTATAACAAGAACATAGATGAGGCCTGGTCTTAAAAAGGTCTCACCCATCGCCACTCATTCCTCATGGCACTCCACAAGTTTCGGACGTTTTATAATCAGAAAATGAGCTTTTTTCACCTAATTCCTCCGCTTTATTTTGTTTTCCTTCTCTCAATGTGTTCCTTTGGCTTTCTTGAAACCTCAGGACCAGCTTTCTGATACAGCTGTGGAACATAATCTGCTTTCAAGTGTGTTGTTTCTTTGTGTATCATTTTGCAGTTTACTGAAGACTATGGAAATGAAATGATTTTTACATTCTTAAAAATCTTAAGACTAAAAATGTAATGGTCCACCAAATACCTATTCACCTATACCTGTTTTACCTTTATATGTAAAATTAAGAAATATTTCATAAATTCTGAAGTCAGGAGACCTTGTAATCAATAGGTCTGTAACTTCCTGTTGATCATTTATAACCATGAAATGCCTATAAAAATATTTTCAATTAATTATATCTATTCCCTGCCAATATTTATAACATTGTGTAATCTTGATTTCCTGCCCAAGATCTGTATTAACAAATGTAATTATTGTGCTTGCTTTAAAAAAATGTTATTTACATAGTTAGTGGAATAAAATTATGGTAGGACCTCAACAGAATGATTGGGCACCTACTATGTTACTGTCAGTGAGCTAACAATGTGAGTCAGGTGCGATAAATAACATTTATAAAAAATGGGGGATGTTGTTAACACAGTATGTATGCAGAGAAATAGCCTGCCTTTGGGGATTTGGGAAGGCGAAACAGAAAACATTTAAGTTGAACTGCAAACGATGAAGAGAAAACCTTCCAGGCAGTGGGATGTGCAAGAACTTGGAGACCTGACAGTGAGGAAGAATCTGAGAAGCAGCAAGGGAAAAGTGAGAGAAAGATACATTGAGACCAGGGTGTAAAGGCTTGTAATTATCAAACCTCACTTGGAGCTTTATTCGGGGTTATTAGAGACTGGAAGATGTGGAGGTCTGATTTGTTGATATTGATGTTTAAGAGAGATGTTTTTGGCTTGATATAAGTGAATATGAAGAAGAAAGGTGAATGAAAACATTTTAGGGCCACCATATATGAGGCTTTTACATAGCTCTATTTGATATAGTAATTTCAAATTTGTAGGAATAGTACAATGAACTCATACACCTATATTTATTGTTTTCATTGTGCACCATGTGTTTGATCATTTCCTCTCTCCCCTCCCTCGCCCTCCCTCTGTGTGTGTGTGTGTGTGTGTGTGTGCAAAAAGCACATTTCCCCAGGGAGTCCGGCTGTTGGTCTCCTACAGGTCTCGATTGTAATACTGCTGCACTCCCAAGAGCTGGGTATGAGGGTGGAGTTGGGGTAGCAGCAGCCCCAACTCCCACTGTTCTTCAATAATGATCCAGCAGTCTGTCATAAATGTGCCTCAGTTGGGTTGTTTTGCCTATGGCTGATTTCTAGAACCCGAAAGTTGTGTTGTTTTGAAGGCAGTTTTTTGAGGGATTTTTAAAAGATTTTCTCAATTTCCTCTGCGGAAACTAGTCTAAATTCTCACTCACTATTGAGTAAAATTTTGTAAACTCTCTTTCTAGGAAATTGTCCATTTCTTCTACGTATTTGAATTAAATTTGATGCCTGCCTGCAAAGTAGTCTCATGTTTAAAAAAATTATTTTCTTTAAGGGTTATTCCTCTGTCACTTATTACTTTGAATGCTTGTTCATTCTCCTTTTTGAAGTTAGTTAATGATTTAGCTATTTCACATTTTTCAAAGTGGTATCCTACATGTTGACAAAGTAGGATCCCAGACATTGAAAAATTCCTTGGGAACCAAAATTGTACCAGGTTGAGGACTGCTGCTTTACATATAGTCCATTGATTTTGATATGAATGTTTTCATGATCATTTTGTTTTAAGTTCTATTAGTTTAGTTTGTAGACTAAACTAGATTTCTTCTAGAAGTCTTTTAAATTTTTCTATTCTTAAATTTTGTTCCATTTTCTAGTTTGACAGTTTGTGCTCAGATTGTTATTTATACTTCTACTCTTTGAAACTTCCTGATACTGTCTGTTACCTAATAAAATCAGTTTTTGTGACTATTTCATGTGTGCCTGAGGAGATATGTTCTGTATTATCAAAATGTGAAATCTATATAATCCTTGGTTTTCACTTTCTTCCCTTATCTTTTCCCAAAATGCTGCTAAATTTTTACTTTGCATTTATAAACTTGATGCTAATTCTCTCCCTGCTCTGTAAAGTATACTCAGTTCTGCCAGGACACATTTATTTTTTCACAGATGATATACTTTCTCCTTTGGGTAGTGATTTAAATTTGTCTTAGTCTCTTTTCCTCTTCTCTCTCCATGTAGTTGTTCAGGTCTCAGCTCCTTTGTTTGCTCTCTACAAAGGCTGATAGTGCGAGCACAAGAACTGTCTTGTCCAGAATTGGGGGTTCCTTTTCCAGTCAAGTCTGTAGATACCTCTGTCTCTTATTTGAAGGCACGAGATTATTCTGGTTGATTCTATACTTTGAGGAAAAAAAAAGATACCAAGAGATTAGATTTAGGCAGCCACCATTTTCCTTAGCTGCCTCCAAGTTCTCTGAATAGGTTTGTGAACTTCGAGTAAGGGCTAGTGATAAGAAAGGACTGATTTGGTTTACAGTGGATGCTCTGGTTTTGAGGTGATTCTCTCTGTCCCGTAAAGTGTCCATCAAGCATTTAGGTAGTTGATCTGGACTTCAGATAAGAGATCAGGAATTACTGCTTCTAAAAAATTTTGGTAGAGTCCAAGTAAACTGGAATTAGTGTTGTAAATTCCTTTGTGGTATTCATGCCTTGGTCTAACTCCTGTCTGCTACTCAGACTCATCTTTTATGAACTTATAAGGGCTTTGAAAAAAAAAAAAGATAATTTTGAGTTTATTCAATAAATGGTGCTGGGAAACAGGACTGCTGCATACCAAAGAATGAAGCTGGACTACTATCTTAACATCATACAAATACAACTAGCAGAAATGGACGAAAGAATTGGAGATAAGACTGGAAACCATAAAATATAGGCAGAATATGCCGTGACATACAACTCAGTAACATATTTAAAGCCCTCCCCACCCCCCGCAAAGCAAAAAAAAAAAAAAAAGAAGAAGGAAAAGATGAACCACTAGGATTACATCGATTAAAAAGTTCTGTACAGCAAAAGAGACATTAACCAAAACAAAGAGACAATCTACATTTGGGAGAAAATTTTTGCACATAACACTACTGATAAGAGACTGATCACAAAGATCTACAAAGAGCTGATGTGACTCAACAAAAACAAAGTGAACAATCTGGTCAACAAATGGGCAGAAGAGCTAAAAAGACACTTCTCCAAAGAAGAAATGCAAATGACTAACAGGTACATGAAAAAATATTCAGCATCACATGTAATCAGGGAGATGCAAATCAAAACCATGAGATACCACCTTAAACCAGTGAGAATGGCACATATTAAGAAAACAGTAACAAATATTGGCAAGGATACTCCAACACTGCTGGTGGGAGTGCAAGCTGGTCCAACCTCTATGGAAAGCTGTGTGGAGATTCCTCAGACTACTAAAAATGGAGCTTCCATATGACCCAGCTGTTCCACTCCTAAGCATCTACCCAAAGGAAACAAGAAAAATAATTCAAAAGAATACCTGCAACCCTGTGTTTATTGCAACACTGTTTACAATAGGTAAGATATGGAAGCAGTCCAGATTCCAAAAAATAGATGACTGGATCAAGAAGATGTAGTACATATACACAATGGAATATTACTCAGCAATCAAAAAAGTTAAACTCGTGCCATTTGCAGCAACATGGATGGAGCTGGAAGGGATCATGCTCAGTGACATAAGGCAGAAGGAAAAAAAATATCAGATAGTTTCACTTATAGGAGAAATGTGGGGAAACCAAATAGGAGGTCAGGATAAGAAAATAATTATAATAAACTAAAACAAAATTACAGACAACAATAAATCAAAGACACAATCAAAATTACAGACAACAATAAATCTGCAGGGGAAGTGGAGGGAGAAGGATCAAAACCAGGGAGGGACGAGCACAAGGAACTCCGTTGATGGTTCTTGGGTAAATCAGTGGTGGGAATTTTCCAGGGACTATACCTGAGAGGAGAAAGTAATATTGTACAAAAAGGAAGAATGATGTAAAATTTAAAAAATTAAAAAATAAAGACAATTTTGAGAGGTTAACAGGTGAAGTGTTATTTCCTGGCGCTTTATATATAATGTTCTGCAATTTGAGAAATTTAAATGGTAGTCTGAGGAACCAGTTATTATTGGGGGAAAAAAGAGTAAACTTGTAGAGTAAAAGATCAAATCACCTACCTAGAGAGAGATAAGAAAATAGGGCCTCCCTGGTGGGCACATGGGTTTTAGACAGCGCTGTCAAGCATTCGCCAGCCACTGCAGCACAAGTTCAATCCCTGGCAGGCCAGGGAGCTGACCCACATGGCGCAGCAGACCTCCTCTGTTTTACCCACTGTTCCCCTCAGCAGTGTATTTCAGTAGATTCCCTGTTCCGCTCCCCACTCTGTCTCTGGTGGAATCCTCTCACCCCTGCCCCTGCACCTCGGACTTTCTCCTCAGTTCTTGTATACATAAGTAAATAAATCTTAAAAGAGCACATAAGTAGAACTTCTTAATGAAGCTTTTTTGCATATTCATAGTTTCCCATGATAAATGCTTATCATGTAGGTTAAGTTCATAAAATCTACATATCAACAAATCTACACCAATAACTTTCTAAAGCAAAAAATTCCTAGTTTCTTTTTTCTCACAGTCACCTATAATTAAGCTAAAGAAAGGCAAATGCTTATTCCCGATACCTAAAGGATAATAAGACCCATGTAATACACTACAGTTAACGGAGTTTTCAGAACATAGTCTGTGATGAAATTTCCACATAATGTGTAAGGACAAAACCCTTTTAACAAGAGAGTAAATTGTACTTTAAAAGAATAATTGCAAAAATATTGTTGGTTATCACTTATTTTTTTAAGAATTTCTTTTATTTATTTATGCATAGAAAAGATGGGGTATAGGCCACAGCTGCGGGGGGCTGACCCACATGGTGTGGCAGGCCGTTCCTGACCTGCCCGCTGCTCCCCTCAACAGTGTATTTCAGTAGATCTGCCTGTTCTGTTCCCCACTCTGATGTTGATTCACTTGATGTTGTTACTTGATGTTTGATGTTGGGTAAAATGGTGTTGAAACTGTACATTCTATTGAATTAATGGAGAGGCAGAAATTGCAATCTCTGAAACATACCTGCCTGGGTTCTAACTCCCTCACAGCTTCACTGTGCCTCAGTTTTCACTTATGTATAATTAGTGACACCTACCTCACTTAGTATCACTTGTTATTTAAGATTAGCTATAATGACTACATTATATTAAGATCTGGATCAAGTGGGGTAGAATTCTTGAGACTAATTAGAACTCATAAATTGCAAGAAGTTAACAATATTTGGATGCAAATATTGTATGTTGGCCCTTGTTTTTTTAACATGTAAGCCAGTCACCACAAAATTCTCAGGTAGGTGATACAAGACAGACAAATAAGTCAGGTGTTTCCATAGAAATAACTATGAACGTGGAATATAGAGAAAACAAACAAAGCCACAGAAGAACGAACCTAAATAAACACTAGATATAAAATTGCAGAATTGACGCTAATAGAAGGGCTGGAAAGGGGAAAAAGTCAAGGGCGGGAGGGAGCACAGTGATCCATTTTAGAGGATTACAGGTGCTTGAAAGTGGACTGAGGTGGTAACACACATCTAGCTATTCCTCTAAATCATATAAAGTGTTGTAAATCAATGTTACAAGTCACTATGTATAAGTCAATATAAGGTAAAAAGAAATCACAGTGGACATGATAGCATTCATGCAGAAACAGAGATATTGGCCTTTTTATTTTCGTTGGGCTAAGATCTAAAGGAGAGATTCCTTCATCCATGTAAAAACTAAATACGGTAAATGTGCCCTGAAAAGATTGTTGTATTTAACTGGCTGCTGTGCTCACAACTCACGTCGCCTCGTCCCACGCTCCACCAGGTGGCGCTCTAGCACTTTATACTATGCCTTCTTCCCACCTCTCTAGTCTGTGCAGTATTCAAAATGGATTAGGAGGGAGAAGATAAAGACCGTGTTTGAAAGTATGAACTGTTTGTTCAGCCGAATTTTACAGCTTTCTTTTTAATCATTTACTTGAGGATTATGAAAATAGTGGGTTGAACAACTTTTCACAAATTCCTTTAGTTCTTTAAAAAAAATTCACATTTTATACATAGGTTTTATTAGGAATAATATATGAAATCTTTGCTGTATCTGGAAAGGCATAGGACTAAACTAAACTAATAAAATTGCATCCAAATATTGTTAACTTTCTTGCAATTTATTGATGGAAATAAACCGTTAACATGTAGGGCAATTTGGTTTTTTATAATAAATCATAAGCACATTGTCCTTGACAACTTGATTAAGCTTCATCATCTTATTTTCCAGGTGTGACATTGCCACATTTCTGGGTGCAGGTCAGCCAATACAACCATTTAAGTTGCTTCAACGATAATGGAAAAGTATGAAAAATTAGCTAAGATTGGAGAAGGGTCTTATGGGGTCGTATTCAAATGCCGAAACAAAACCTCTGGACAAATGGTGGCTATTAAAAAATTTGTGGAATCTGAAGATGATCCTCTTGTTAAGAAAATAGCACTAAGAGAAATACGTATGTTGAAGGTAAGTTAACATCTTGCTTTGTAATAATAGCATGATATTGTGTGAAACATGTATGCCAAAATTACAAAGAATTTTGAAAAGATTTTGTTCCCCTTCAACTTCAGTTTCTTTGTGTTAGCAACCATCGGAATAAACAGATCATCATTTTAGACATTGGCGGCACTGATGTTATATATTAGGAGTATAGCTGTAGGTTGTTAAAATGTTGAAACATTTCCACTATGGTTAATAAATATCCACGGTTCTAAATCTCCTCATCCCAGTGTTTATCCTCCTTCCCCAACTCTGGGTTTTCCCAGCCTCCCTCCATTTACTTCTACCCACCACAAATGAAAGACCCTTGCTGACCCAGGGGACCCCACAGGCAGAAGTCTGGGCCCCGTGCGGAGGGACATGGCTTCACCCTGCCTCACTCTGGTTTGTAGAGGTATTGAATGACACTCCCTGCTACTTACACACTTTTTTTTTTTTTAAGATTTATTTATTTGTGCATACAGAACTGGGGTACAGGCCAGAGGCTCAGGGGCGGTGAGAGGCTTCACCAGAGACAGAGCAGGGAGCAGAACAGGCAGATCGACGAAGTACACTGCTGAGGGGAGCAGCGGGCGGGTCAGGAGAGGTCTGCCGCGCCATGTGGTCACCTCCGGGGCAGGCAGGAATCGAACTCATGCGGAAGTGGCTTTAGATTCTCAGTGCTGTGCTTTACCCCGCTGCGCCACCACGGAGGGCCTACTTACACACTTTTTAATGCTACAGGTTTTGTTCTAGTTGGTTTCACTCTGATGGGATTTCACACACAAGATTTTTAAGTTCTTAGTGTAAGTGCCTTCCTCCCCTAGACCTATTTGTTTTAGGACCCTAAGAGACCTGAAAGAAGCTTTTCTCCCAACAAAAAGCAAAAGAGCAGGTGTAGGGTAGTGCCTCAGAGCTTCCTGTGCCTGGGAAGCCTGGTTGGGGGGAAGGGGACCTTGTTGACACGCAGGTTCTCACAGAGGTCTGGGCTCCACCGAGATGAAATGGCTGCTCTACCTGAGCGCTGATCTGACCAGGTTACACCTTGCCTCCGCATCCAGCTGTGGCATCCGGGAGCCCCTCACCCTTCTGGCAGTGGACACAGTCGGGCTACCATTCTGGGGTTTCTCCTGCAGCGCAGCCACCTTTTCCTGTCTTCACCCTGTGCCTTTCTGCTCTCGTAGGCGAGGGAGCACATAGAGTGGAGCCCATAGAAAACAAATCGATTCGATGCAGTGGGCATCTTTTAAATGTAGACGGATAATGGACTCCCTCTCCCCAAGCTGGCAGCAGACACGTAGTCAGGGTCATATTTTTGAGTTCTGTTTTTTTGTTCCAGCTATATTTAGAGATTGATGTACAAAACGCTATGTCAGCTCTTGTACTTAGGACGCGCCTGTGGACCTACAAAACAATCATTGAGGATCTGCTTCTACTGTGTACAAACTCCTTATGTCCCCTCTCTGTGTATACCTTTCTCTGTAAAGGATACGGCTTGGGAAGTTGATTTGCCCCGGTCACACACCCCGTAGTGGTGAGGAGCCTCCTGAAAAATACGGCATTAGGCAGTTGTCATTGTGCTCACGTCACCGGGCACACCTAGGCAGACCTGCAGGGGACAGCGCACTGCTCCCCTGGCTGTAGTGTGGTCTGCGGGCGCCACTCTCCTATAGGGGGTCCACAATGGACCAAAACATGCTGATGGGCGCACGGCAATACCAAACTGGGAAAACAAGAGAAAATGAGTTGTACGTAGGGGTGATCAAATGTCCTGGTTTGAAGCTTTTTTCCAAGTGTCCCATCTGATTCCCACCCTCTTTTTTTTTTTTTTTAAAGATTTACTTATTTATTCGTACAGAACTGGGGTACAGGCCAGAGATGCGGAGGGTGAGAGGATTCACCAGAGACAGAGCGGGGAGCAGAACAGGCAGATGCACGAAATACACTGCTGAGGGGAGCAGCGGGCGGGTCAGGAGAGGTCTGCCGCACCATGTGGTCACCTCCGGGGCAGGCGGGAATCGAACTCGTGCGGAAGTGTCTTTAGTTTCTTGGTGCTGTGCTTTAACCCGCTGTGCCACCAGGGAGCGCCACTCTTTTTTTTTTTTTTGAAGATTTATTTATTTATTCGTACAGAACTGGGGTACAGGCCAGAGATGCGGAGGGTGAGAGGATTCACCAGAAACAGAGTGGGGTGATTCCCACCTCCTTTTAAGTGTCCCAACGGATGTGGTCCCCGTAACTCTAGGTCGAGTGAGCGTGTATGCTGGTGTGGCTGGGCTAGTCATGGCTCCCACTACACTGGTTGAATGGTAAATAATACATTTCCACGGTTTTAGTTTATCCTACTTAATCAGGCTTTAAAAAGAAAACATTTTTTCAATTTGTGCACACAAGAGCTGGGGTACAGGCCAGAAGTGCCGGAAGGTGAGAGGATTCACCACACCCAAGACAGAGTGGGGAGCAGAACAGGCGGATTGACTGAAACACACTGCTGAGGGGAGCAGCAGCAGGTAGGACAGGAGGGGCCTGCTGCCCCATGTGGGTTACCCGGTGGCTGGGGGTCAGTGGCTGCCGATAACTTCATAGTGCTGAGACTTAACCCCTTGCACCATCTTGGAGGCCCCTTAATTGGGCTTTTCCCCTTTGGCCTGTAATATTAAACAGAGGCTGCCTTGTGAAATACTTTTTGGTATAGAATTTAACATATGAATCACCCAAGCCTAAGAGAGAACAAAATCAACGAAAAGAGCTGAAAATATGCCAAATCAATTTAAAACACAGACAAACTATGGGGACTCCTCGAACAGGCAGTTGAATCATATTTGAGAGATCCAGTGTTTCTGAGCGCCAACACTAAAATCCAGAGTGGGTTTAACTCCAGCTGACATTTACATTAAATCCATAATACTATGTAAGCTAAATGGGGCGCAGATGATTTTAATAGCCTTTTGCTCAGTAATTTCATTTCTTCAAATTTTTTCTTTCAGGTCATTTTATTACTTGGATATTTATAAGCTCCATAAAATACATAATGTCTTTTTTATTTATGTACTTTTTTTGCTATCTCCCAGGGCTTTTAGCAGTTTACTTACCATCTAATGGAAACATTAGATGAATTCTTTTTTAAAAAAAAAAAAAAGATTTATTGATGCTTACAGAACTGGGGTATAGGCCAGAGGTGTGGTGAATGAGAGGCTTCATCAGAGACAGAGTGGGGAGGGGAGCAGAACAGGCAGATCATCGAGGTACACTGCTGAGGGGAGCAGTGGGCTGGGGTCAGGAGAGGTCTGCCACACCACGTGGGTCAGCTCCCTGGCTGGGAATTGAACTCATGCTGCAGTGGCTTCTGAGAGCTTCATAGTGGGGTGCTTTAACCAATTGTGCCACCAGGGAGAGCCCTAGATGAATTCTTAATGTCTTCCAACATCAAGATTTTGTGTTTCTTACTAAAAGGAATTTAGTATTCTTCAGAATTTCTCTTGTGAGTAGCTGTAATAAAATTCTCCATAAGAACTGCATAGAGAATGATAACAAAGCCTTACTACAAAATTGTAGGGCGTCTGGATGACTCATTATGCTAAAACAAATCACCAAACTCTGTGTTTCTGTTCCTTTGCAGCAATTAAAACACTCAAACCTTGTGAACCTCATTGAGGTATTCAAAAGAAAAAGGAAAATGCATCTGGTTTTTGAATACTGTGATCACACACTTTTAAATGAGCTAGAAAGAAACCCCAATGGGTGAGTAACCAAGAAACTAATTTCTGCATAGCTAGTTCTCCCTTTCATTCTATTTGGGATTCACTATGGCACATTTCACATGGGAACCACCATTCCCCTTCCTACCCAGATGCATCTCCTGGCGGCCCATCTCCAAACTCGGTAGCACATGTTTAAAGGGCAAAGTAATATTAACCTTGAGTATAAATATTAGGAAGACAGACCGACAGCAGATAGAAATCAAGGTGCATTTCAGGCTAAATTATACTTTCAATTGTCTGAATTCAAGGAAATAAACTGAGTTCAATATTAGGAAATCTCAATCATATAATTTGTATGAATTTACCTATATTTATATATTTCATATAGTTCACTAATAGTTTAAAGGAGGAAAAATTATATCTGGTTGATGAAATTTGAAAGGCACTCAAATTCAGCACTCTTCCCTAATTAAATTTTTTTTTTAGCAAACTAGGTATATAAAATACTTTAATCTACACACTTGTGCATTCTTATATCCAACCTCTTTCAACAACAGCCAGTTTTATACTCAATGGCACCACACTAAATGAGCTGTCAGTATAAAGTAAGAAAAAGGCAAGGATATCAACTGTCATTGCTGTAGGGTACAGTGTTCTGAGAGCTCTGGCTAATGTAATAAGAAAAACAAATAGAATGTTCAACTTTGGAGATGCGATAAAATTGTCATTATTGTATTATGTTATTATTCTACAGAATCTAAGGAAATTACCTAAAGAGATATTAAAACTAATGGAGTTCAGCCTAATGACTATAACACTCTAAATTTCACACACAAAAATTAATAGCTTTTATATCAATTAGCACTTTAGAAAACCTAGTGATGATCTCATTAACAATCAACCAAAAAAGCTTAGAAATAGGGGTGAAAAGTTGTTCAAATTCTACATAAATACAGCAGTAAAACCTAATTGAAGTAAATAAAGGTTTTTATTTAAATGAATCTATGTGTCCTGATGAAAATATTCATTATGATAAAGATACCTCCTCCCTGATTTGTTTGTTGAACGAAAATTGAATCAGAAGGCCTGTGGGATTTCTTTTTTATACACTTGAAAAGATTAGATTAGATCAAGAATTTTTTTTAAAGAAAAGGAAATTTAACTGCAAAAATATTAAATCATTTTAGTTTTAGAAAAATAAAGAAATGGCATGTTGGGTAAAGTATTTGCCAGATGAAGAACTAATATAATGTCACATCTACAAATGCAGTTTTTTGTGAAGAAAATTTTTGAAAAGATGAACCTATTTAGAAAGTATTTTCATTTCAAAAAACTCCAGTGAACTTGTCCTGCTCTACCAAGCTAAGCGCTAAGGATACAGCAGTGAACAGAACATGCAGAAGAGCTGTCTGACCTTCGAAAATTTATATCCAGTGGATATGAAAAAGTAAATCAAGAAAAAGGGGGAGAAATCACGAATCCATGAAACACATTCATCTTTCCCATTAATCAAATATATTGTTAATAAGGTACCATCTCTCATCTACCACATTGTTACAGATTTTTCAAAGATCAGTACACCCAACACTGTGAAAGTCAGGGAGTCAGGCACTCTCATCCACAGCTGGACGGGGGTAGGACTAGTGGGGTGTAGCAGTCCGTTAGGAAACTTTTAAACTATTCTCATTCTTGACCATGAAATTCCTCATAGAACAATTTAGAGTGAGAAAACAATCAGCTGTAAAAGGTTATGCACAAAAATATTCAACATATTATTAGCTACAAAATAAAAAAGTGGGACTGACCTAATTTTCCAATAGTAAAGAGTTGGCCATCTGCGCTTAAATTTATCCACGCAATGGAGTTGACATAAACCTTTGATAAAATATTAGAACAAATAAGGAGAGCAGTTGGGCAAAAGTAGGGAATGTATTGGGATGGTTGGAATAGAAAAAGGTGCTTTTCTTCCACATTCATGAACACTTGTTTTTGGTCTTTTTGGTGTGGACTGTTCTCACAGATGTGAAGTGGTACCTCATTTTTTTTTAATTTTGATTTGCATTTCCCTGATGAGAAGTGATGCCTTTTTCTATCTGTACATCTTAGCTCCTTGGTTTTTATTGTGGTACTTATTTAGATTGCTTCTCTCTTTTGAAAGCTCCCAGAATTTTGTTTTTACCCCTGTGATAGTACTAGGCACTTACTATCTTACATGTTCTTATGGGCATACTCACCCTCTTACAAGACACAGTTTTCCGAGTTCCTGTCCTGTGGCCACTCACCAGGACAGTCGTGCGCTGGTGAAAAGAGAAATACCCAATATTTTGGGAATACTGGACAATGCTTTCAAGTAAAGTTAATCACCAGTGACCTTGAACACCACTGTTTCCCTCCTTTGTGGGGGCGGAGCTGGAGAACTTAATGAGAATCAGATGGCAAATGGAATTTTGTGGTCCCAGTGGATCCACACATTCAATCTTGGGGCTATTTCCACATTTCCCAATTGGATAGTTCAAAAGATACTCTAGTAAGTGGGAAAAGAGCCAATCAACTCGGATCCAAGGACTGCAAGTTATTATAGGAGGAGAAACCTAGTAGAAGTGTCTGACGAGCTGCTGCTTTACCAAAATAGAAAACCCAAGGGGCCTCCCCAGCGACCACAGGGGTAAAAGTCTCAGCGCTACCAACATAGAAAACTGAAAGCAATAATGCATATCTGGGGGAAGGGCATAGGTTAGTTCTTCCATGAAAATTTGGGGGAGACATAGTTGGAGAGACGAGTGTGTTGCCTGGATTAATCTCTCCTCAAACCTTTGAATTTCTTCCTCCT